CCAATTGTCAAATTCGAATATTTCAAGGCGATAGTGATGGAAACCAAAACTTTTGCATAATTTTTTATAAGCAACACTATTCAATGGAATAAAAGCGTTGAGTTCTCCTTTAAAAATTATTAGAAATTTTCCCTTAACACTGTCCAGATTGTGTTGTTGATCATAAAAAATAGCTATTCTTCTATGAAGTAAAATATAGGCCTCTAAATTTTTGTGTTTAAATTTTCAAATTTAATGCAAAAACGTTGTTTAAATACTTTGAATATTTGTTATGTCAAGGCCAAATATTATATGGAATTTTGTATAAATCTGTTTGTCAGATTGAAAATAGCAAAAAGTAAGCCTCGATTTAATTAAATTACAAAGAAATTCTCTTCTTTTATGCTATTAAAATTGATTTGCTAATTAAGGATTTACCTATTATTCAATACCTGTGTTTACCTTATATTGAATTACTTTTACTGAACAAACAGAATTCTTTGGCGTGTTTGTTTTTCTTTTAATTTTTGAACACCATGATGCTACATTTGATATTTGTTGCAGTAAAGGCGGTAGAACGCCAAAACTTTTTGACACAAAGAAATAAGCTGAATACCTAGGGAACATTTTTAAATATGAAAATGTTCTATTCTTATTGTAATCAATTATTTCTAGCTTTGTATCTGAAAGAAAATCATTTTAAATATGTCAACTTTGATTGATTGATTGATTATCAACTGTGATAAAAACCAATTTAACCTTTTAACATGTGAAATGAACACGATAATGCATTTAGATTACTATTCATTATCTTTCTCTTTATAGTTAGATTTGAATTCAAGGTAATACCAATTGAGATTTTTGAAATATTCACATTTTGGATCATACTCTCCAATATAAAGAATAATACTTGTTTGCAAACAAATCCTTTCCATTTTGCGAAAACAACTGCAAAGATGCTTTGTGACTTTCTAAAATATAACTTGTACGAATTTGCCATTGGTCTTTTTATGGCAAAAAGATCTGTTCAATAATGAATTATATTAGGAAGAAAACCTAGAAAAAGCAAATTGAACAAACATGATGATTGATTGCTTTTAAAACATTTCAAACAAAGTCCACTGTCTGAATTTCTTTTAGGTATAATACTGAAACAAACACATATTTACAGGTAGAAAATTAACGTAATTGTTCCGATTCAAATGTAAAAGTATAAAACACAAAAAAATTGATTTACAATTGAAAAGAATTGTTTGAAGAGATTACTATTTCCATCTGTAATCTTTTTGTACTATTGGCATTGATAAAACAAGGATATGAATTAGAATGTAGATCATCATAATTCATCTTTTTACATAGTAGAGTACTATCAGCTATATCGAATTTTTTATATTGAACTATAAATTGACGATTTATCGTTTTGTGATGAACCAATAACCCTTCGACATAGTTTTGATCTTTGGTAAAAATCTCCAAATCTAATGAATTTACTTCAGTTATATTTCGATTTCTTATTGTTATTAGAATGATAATTTGAAAAGAAATTTTGAAAGAAAGCATAATTTTATTACAATTTCTGCGTTCAACTTGTATAAAATATTATTGTCTCTTTTCACACAGACACAATATTCATTAAACGATGCTTGCTAAAGTAATTAAATTCTTCTGCCTCGTTGAATTGATACTTGTATAACAATTTTGTAATCATTTTAAAATATAATATTTCCAAATCTTTCAAATCAACATTCTCTGTACTTTGTTGTATTGTAATTGTAGGAATTTCTGCTTGTTCAGAACAGTATTCATCCTCTTCAGTCATTTATCAATTCAGCAAAGTACTCAAACAAATAGAACCTTTTAAGTTCATCCACAATCAGTATTAACAAATGTAATTTTGGTAGAAATTAAACAACAAAACACAAGTATTTCATCCAAAGGTTATTTATTGAGTAAATGAGTTCCTAGTTCTAAACAAGCAAGTTTAAACAATCAACTAATGGTTAAAGAACTGAACTAACAAGCTGGGGAAATGTATTTCCTTTTATACATTTCCCAAAGCTTGGGTTCAATTGGTCAAAGGATTAGGAGGGCGAAATATAGCAGTCTCATAATCCACAAGTAACAAAAATATTAAAGACTATTATATGACACATATAGAATACAATGATGAGATGAACACCACATGGCCAACATGTGCCACTGCAGCACAGGCCTGCTTCAGTAGCATCTGGTATTGCCTAAGATGTAACAAATTTCACATGCATCTTTTCTATGTTCTTTGTTCCTTTGTTAAATGCATAGTGGCTCCACCTCATATGGGAAAAGAATCTATTTCCTACGAAATAGAGTTCTTTCTAAAGTTCTAGAATCTTATTCTATGACATAAAAGACTTTCTAAAGTTGCACCATTATAATTCCCACAAAATAGAAGTTATTCTAAAGTTCATTTATATCTAAAGTCTAAATATCAATATGTCATTATGTCTAAGTGTACGGATATCCCACCATTTTAAGACCTTGCTTCCACGAAAGGTATGTGACTGGTCACAATGACTCTGTTACCTTCCTTTATAAATGTTGGATAGTTTTGAAGAGGTATTGCTTCTTGTTTAATTTCTAAGGTTGAGTATGTTGGTACCTGTAGTTCCTCTTGTTGAATTTCTGGAGCAGTGGCTTGAGCTTTTCTTCTTTCTAGAAAACAAACAAACAATCAATAAAGCTTGTCATAGTGTACTTCAATTTGACTGCGAAGGTTCGTGTATAAGTCGAAAAATGAAATGTAATCTACGATACGATTGTTATGACAAATCGGATGAAAAAAAGTGTCTTAAATACCAAGACAGAATTTGTACGCTAGTTTCAAAAGGGAAAAAAACTTGCAGAGTTCAATACAATAATATGAAATATTTGAAAACAAATCCACATTTTCCAATAATTGACATTGTTGATTGCGAGTTGAAATCTTGTAGAGTTGGCGAATATCTATGCTATATTTATAATTATTGCATATCAATAGAGCAATTCTGCGATGGCATTAATCATTGTTATCTAGGAGATGACGAAAAGTATTGTTTTGAAGAAAAACATACTCCTTCCAGCTTTTTCAAGTGCAAAAATGAAACTGCATACATTCAAAAACCAAAAAATTATGTAACAAAGAAGTTGATTGCTTTTACCGAAGTGACAAATTGAACTGCGATTACTTTAATGAATTTGAAAATTCATTAAACAACCAACTTACTGGCTGTAACGTTTCCCATTGTTTTGATTTGTCTTGCGCAATAGCTCCAACTTGGTTATCGTATTCTTTCCATCATCCTCCCTACATAAACATTTCAAAACTATTGAAAAGACTTTACGTCAATGGAGACGTTTTATTCAATCATTCAAATATTCGTAAAAATCTCGCGATTCTAGAGATTGTTAATAATAGAATTGCGAAAAACATATCCATGTTCCAATTTCCTAACTTGGTTTCTTTAGTCTTAAAAGGAAACAAACTTAGTGATATGAAATTTTTGAATAATCAAACATTCCTAATTCTTCAAAGTTTAGATCTTTCCAATAATCCTATTACATCAATAGACTTTTTGCGAAACTCCTTTTTCTGGATTTATCATTTACAAAAATTTCATTTTTAGATTTTAACCTATTTAAAAATTTTAAGCGAATGATCAATTCAATCAGTATTTCATTGGCACCTTTATACATGAATATTATAAGACATGTGAACCAATCAGCGCAAAATATGAAAAAGATGATCAAGTCGAGTCAAAAACAATTTTCAAGAGTACAAATATCTGTTTTGTTTATAGCTGTGCACTTAGATATAAGGGTACATTAGAAAGACTTCTATTTTATAGGAATTAGACTGGTGCAACTATAGAAATACTTATATTTCGTAGGAATTATAGTGGTGGAACTTTAGAAAGACTTTTATTTCGTAGAGTTAGCTTTTAGTACTTTAGAAAGAACTCTATTTCGTAAGAAATAGACTCTTTGACTGTAACAGATGGTGGCTACTTGGGGAATTAACAAAGGAACAAAGAACATGGAAAAGATGCAGGTCAAACACCAGATGCTGATGAGGCAGGCCTGTTTGCTGTGGCACATGTTTGGCATGTGGCCCTAATCTTAGGATTATATTTTATATGTGTCATATAACAGTCTTTCATATTTTTGTTACATGAGAATTATGAGACCATCAGATTTCAACTTTGTAATCCTTTGACCACTTGAACCCAAGCTTTGGAAAATGTATAAAAGGAAATGCATTTCCCCAGCTTGTCAGTTCAGTTCTTTAACCATTAACTGGTTGTTTAAACTTACTTGTTTAGAACTAGAAACTCATTTACTCAATACATATTCTTTGGACGAAATACTGGTATTTTGTTGAATTATTTCTACCAAAATTACATTTGTTAAGACTATTTGTGGACGAACTTGAAAGGTTCTAATTGGATCAGTACTTTGGTAAATTGATAAATGATTGGAAAGGACGAATACTGTTCTGAAGAAGCAGAAATTCCTACAATTACAATACAACAAAGTACAAGAAATAACTCTTGATTTTCTTGGAGAAAGAGAAACAGCTCACTTCTCTGTTAGTTACTTTTTCAGTAAAAACTTGAGCTGTGTTAAATATATAATAGCAATTTCATTCAAAAGTCATTCAGTCACTCAGTCTCTAATCTCTAATTATTGACTCTTAAGTTCATTTTTCCATAATTTATCCTATAGATGAGTAATTGTTGTTGAACTTGACCTTTGTAGTTTAATAATGATCTTGTTTAAGATCTTTGTTAAGGATAAAAGTCTTCTAGATGACCTATTAAGATGATGATTAGAAAAAACAATAAGAGTTTACATAATCTGGAATTTGTGGCCAAGATTAAATGGATAACTGTCTAATTCATGTTTGTCTTTACTAACATGATATTATAAAATCTATTTGCCAAGTTTTAAGCAACTTGAAAAATGCATAATGTATTTTCTTTAATGTAGATTTTTGAGTAGTGTTCTTAAAATGGTTTCAAATGATTGATAAATGTTTTGTACAGACAAGAGAGAAAACTATACAAACTGTTATCCCATGTATTTTTAATATCAGTTTCCGATTTGAATGAATTTGACCATTTAAATGCGTAGACATTGCCATGAAAATCTTTTGAATTACACGCTGCAAGACACAATCCTAGGTTTATTGGACTGTCACTGCCAATCCCACCAACTGTAAAATAACCATATTGAACACCATTCATATAATAGAAAAGTCTATTGATAGTTTGATCAAATACAAAAGCAAAATAAGTTAAATAATCATCAGTTAATGGCTTCATAACTAATCCATTCTTTACACCTGATGTTGTTCCCAATGAACCATTTCCATTAAGTGATATTTTAGGGGCTAAATAACCAAATTTAGAAAATGAATACAGAATTAAATTATCTGAATAGTCAGCTGGTAAAATGTATTTACAAACAATTTCTACTGAAAAAGCTTGATTACCAGTCCCAAAACCTAAGTCATGCATGACCTATAAAATGTTAAAAATTAATTGATAATGATAATAATTTCTGTTGAAATAATAATAAAAGAAAGAGGCAAACTTTTAAGTAATCATTCAATCCAAAATATATTGAACCATCTGTATTGTATTTTACTGTATTACCAAATATAGTGCCAACTTTACCCAATCCTCCAATATCTGGAATAACACTATTTGCTGGTATTAATTCATTTTTGTTGACATTATACCAATCATATAGTAACACAGTTTCATCATCTTTAAAAAGAAACTGGTGTCTTAACTGACCTGAACAAAAGAAATATCTTATATTCTAAATACTGAGAAATATTTAAACTAAAAAATCTTCAACTTACAAAGGTCAAAGGTTAGAGAAATTAGTAAAAAGCTCAATAAAGTAATCATTGCTGTTGTTTAGCTGTCAACTGAAATTGTTTTTATACTTTTATAAAAAAGACTATTTTTCTATTGTATTTTGTAATGGTGAGTGGAATTGTCTCAAGAATTAATAATTTCTCTTTTAATGCTTTCAGTCTAATAAACATTTTAAAACAAATTCAAATACAATAACTAGACTAATGGTATTTTATTTTATTTTATATAATTGATACTTAGAAGTGACCTGGTTATTGAATTTACAATACTTTATATCACTAGCAAGAATAATGAATGCTATAAATAGGTAAGAAAATGTTTGTATACTATATCAGCTTTTATTGTTTTCTATTGTTAAAATTAAGAAAGTTCTTTTCTATGGATTGCAACATAAATGTTTTGAATAGTTGTCAATGGTATATTGTTATCTATTTTTTGTCAACTACTGTTCCTATAGTGTAATGGATGTTTCTTTAGCAGCTGATGCAATAACAGTTTACATTTCAAGAGTTAAGCAGTCTCTTGAGATGGCCTCTCTTGTTTTAACAATGAAAATACGTAAAAATTGCAATGAATTTTCATTCTTTAAGAGAATGTGAAATGGCTGTCATGGGAAACGTCCACAAAACTCTGGTTTTACCCTAACCCTAGCCATGAGGTGATATCCCCCTAGCTACAAATCAACGGCTATCTTTTTCCTCCTAACCTCAACAAATCTGGTTTGTGGACGTTTTCTATCAACCCCATGTGAAATGTCACTTAAATTCTGCAGCCTAGTTTTTTCTTCTCATATGGGTTATGATAAATACCAGTCTAAGTAGAACTAGAAAATATGAATCAGCTCATAGAGTTCAAATGAATTTAATAAATAATAGAAATAGATATAGAGATATAAGTCATATAGGGATATTGTTGAAAAGAATGATGGTGAAAAACATTGTTTTCTCTCTTTCTATTCTTCTCTCTCCATATATTGTTTGGAATATCTAAAAAGCAAAATGAGCAAAATTATTAAAAACTGGTACATTGTTTATAACAAAAGTAAAAAAAGGTTAAGTAGCTGCCAAAAAAAGATGATATGCACTAATATATATATTTTAAACTGATTACAGTTACATTGATATGGTAACCTTGGCAAAATACAACATGTGTAATTTATTGCAAGAACTCTTAGGGACAGAATCAACAATCATGGAGGTAATGTGAGAAACGAATCCAACAAATTGGTCTCTAATCACTTTAGAGAACATGGATTGGATTAGACTCTATTCCTGAGCTGAGCTCTGAAGTTTGAAAATTTTTGGGGCCAAACAGAAAACGTTCTCAAGTGAGATATTCAAAAGCAACATTTCGGATTGAAAAATGATTAGGAGGAGTAAAGTAGATATTGATTTGTCAAAAAGGTTAGACAGAGACAAGGGATCTAATCTAGATTCAGTGCAATTACATGATGTGTAAACAGCCAATTTTACCTAATTCTAACCTGAACTCTTGACCCTAAAGTCCTAGATTCAGGAATTGTTAGATAGCCTACTGAGAAGGCAACAAAACCACTGTAGGTCAAATAAATTAAAGAAAATATTAAGGAAAATTAAGGAAAATATTAAAAAAATTAAAAAAAGTTATTTTATTCTCTTGTAAATTGCTTTAAATGTCGTTTTTGGTGTTCTCCCCAAGATCTAATCTTAAGACTATAGATGGCGCTGAAACATGAGAGGGCGCTTCTTGTCTGCTATATTTTGGTTAAGAGTACCTTCACTCGTCTATTCGACGAAAACGTAAGTTGTTCAATTAATATTGGTGTGTAGAATTTTTAGAAAACATTTTTCAATCCTCTCCTACAAGATAATCATAGCATTATATTAATATAAATAGTAAACATTCAAATCGATTTCCATATTGGCAGCCATTTTGATTTGCATAGCAGGTAATTTTCATCACAATTACATGATTTTAATAAAAGGTTACAGATATTTTTTATAGATTCATTTGGTTTTTTGCTATTAATTATCATTGCATTTGTAGAAGGAATAGTAAAGAGAAAGATATGAAAGTAGTGATTACAGGATCATCTGGATTGATGGGAAAAGGAACACTATTGCAATGCGTCAAAGACAGCAGAGTAGAAGAAGTCTTAATAATAAATCGAAAAAGCATTGGTTTTGAGCATCCCAAAGTGAAGGAAATTTTATTGGAAGATATGTTTCAATTGGCCTCCATTAAAGAACAGTTAAAGGGCTATGATGCTTGCTTCTTTGCAATTGGTGTTACCGCTTTTCGGGCAAATGAAGAGTATTATCACAAAATGACCTTTGATCTCACAAAATTGTTTGCTGATATTCTATGGGAGCAGAATCCAGATTTAAGCTTTTTATATGTTTCGGCAGAGGGAAGTGACCCAACAGAAAGTAGTGGATCATTTTGGAGAAATTCAAGGGGTAAAATTGAAAATTACATTACTCATTCAGAGAAGAAAGGATATGTTTTTCGTTTGGCAATTATAAAACCAATAGGAGAGGTTAGCTCTAGAACTTATGGAGCTGCAGAACCTGTTGTAAAAGTGCTTTACCCATTGTTGAAATGCCTTGCTCCAAATAAGGTAACCACCACCGAAAATATAGGGAAATCCTTCTTAAACATAGTTGAAAAGGGAAATGATTTAAAGTTGCATCAATCCAGATCCATAAACGAACTAGCGGTTCAATAATGGCTTGGAATTTCAGATATGTGGCATTGAAATTTCTGTCCAATATGTCGACCTACCAATTCCATTAAATAGTTTCCAATTCTTATTTCAAAGGTTCCTAATCAATGGCTTATGTAATTTATTAAACAAACGCATAATATAGGTTATACATAGGAGAAAAATGCCCAAGGGAACATTCTGGGCATTTCTACGATTTGGAGAATTTTCATTCCAACCTTTTTCAGTTGGTTTTGGACTATACAGACGGTTTTGAAGAATAGAAGCCTGATAACTGGTCCGTTGATGGTTAGGTTTAAACACACCAAAAAGTTGGCCATTTTCTCCAGGACTCATTTACAATACATTGTTATGCTAACATTAACAATTCACATTACAAGTGTTCAATATACAAGTGTTTTTAATGTTTTTACTGTTGTTGATGTAGAAATACTTGTTGTGTTCATTCAGATGCTTGAATATCCAGAAAAGTCTTACAGATATAATTAAAAGACCCTTGTGCTTTGGTGGCTTGTTTAAATGTCCGCAAGATGATATTTACAATGCAGTGCATTCATGAATATTGTTTGATCTAATTAAATAAATTGATCCTGTTCTGGATGGAAACAATCGTCTTTTTTCAAGTCTTGATCCTCTAAAGAATCAAACAACTTATCCATATCTTACATTCTTCTTTGATATCCACAAAATTGGCTAATTCTGCCCAATAATGGTCATAATATGGGAGAAAAATAGGACTATTTTTCAATGAACACAATTTTAATCCAATAAAAGAATTCATGTGGTTATATCAACACAATGATTTACAATTGAAAATCAGGGCTAACCCTAACCCTTACATGTGCAGTAATCATCCTTTATTTAAATAATACATTAAAAAAGTCTTAATAACTGGATACCATTCAACATAAACATCTGATAGAGAACAATCTAATACACTTTGAATGTAGTCAATGCATAAATGGACTTGACTTGGCGACTTGCCAAGACTGATAATCAAAATATGACATCATATGTTTTGGGAATGGCTCCTATTCCAAGAATTGATGACTATATTCCTAATTGTACTAGCAAAGGAATGGACAATTCAATAAGAGAGCAAATTCTGTGTTTGTCAACAATTCATACTGTAAAGAAAAAGTCCGTAAATAGAAACCTATATTGGAATTTAAATGATATTCCAATCCAATAATACAAACATAAGCAGAAGAACTATTCCAAATGTTTACAGTGTCCATATCGCCATTTATTTTCAAGACAGTTTGATAAAAATTCCTATTTTTAAAAAGTTTTTCTGAAAGATGAAATAAATTAATCCAAGTTGTAATAAAAAAATATGAGTAAGGGGTTATTGCATATTTGTGAAGGTCTTGTTAAATCATCCAATTCATTAAAAGAAGTCAATTTAGAATTTTGTCAATTAGATAAAGAACAAAGTCAGGCTTTTGGGAATTTTTTAAAAAATTGTTGCTTTCTACAAAAAATCAATCTAAAATGGAATACAGAAATGGCAAATGGATTTTTCGATGTGTGCAATGGGCTTATTAAATCATCAAATAGTTTAAAGTATGTCAATTTTGAAAACTGTGATTTAAATGAGGAACAAGGCAGAATGATTGGAGATCTTTTGCAAAATTGTACCAAAATAGAATCAATTAATCTAAATTCCAATAGTAGGCTGAAAAATGGGCTTTTTAGCATTTGTAATGGACTATTTCAATCAACAGCTACATTAAAATATGTCAATTTTGGACAATGTCAAATAGATGAAGAACAGTGTAAAATTATGGGAGATCTCTTTCAAAATTGTACTAAACTAGCAGAAATCAATATAGATAGAAATCAATTAATGAAATATGGTTTATTTTACATTTCCAGGGGACTTTTAGCATCATCAAATACTTTAAAGAATATCACTTTTGAAAGATGTATCTTAAATGAAAAACAAAGCAGTTTAATAGGAAACCTGTTTAAAAATTGTTCAAATTTAGAAGTTGTTAATCTAGACTGGAATAAAGATATGGATAATGGACTGTTTGATATTTGTGAAGGGCTGATTCAATCATCAAATACTTTAAAAGATATCAGCTTCCAATGGTGTAAATTTAGACGAGAGCAGTGTAAAATGATAGCGAAACTTTTCAAAAATTGTTTTGCAATTGAAAATATATCTCTGTCACTCAGTGAATATGAGGAAAGTGAATTATTGGATATTTGTGATGGACTTAATCAATCATCAAATTCTTTAAAAAACATTAATTTTCAAGCATGTCATTTCAATGAAGAACATTGTAAAATAATTGGAAACCTTTTTCAAAATTGTTCCAATATAGAAAGTGTAAATCTTGATATGAATAAACAAATGGATAGTGGACTACTTGATATTTGCCAAGGACTTCTTCAGTCATCAAATTCTCTGAAAGAGATCACTTTTAGAAGCTGTAGGTTAAATGAAGAACAATGTAGAATGATTGGGAACCTTTTTGAAAAGTGTTCCAATATAAAAATTGTGAATCTAGATTGGAATGAGAAAATGGGTAATGGGTTATTTGATATTTGTCAAGGACTTGTCCAGTCATCAAATTCTTTAAAACAAGTTCACTTTCACAAATGTAAATTAGATAAGAAACAAATTCCAATGATAGGAAATCTACTGAAACATTGTTCTAATATAGAAACAATCTGTCTAGACTGTGCTGATGGTATTGGAAATGCATTATCCAATATTTCGCAAGGATTTGCCCAATCATCAAATTCTTTAAAGGTCATCAATATTCAAGAGAGCAAGTTAAATGAAGAACAGAGCAGAATGATAGGAAATGCCTTAAAATATTGTTTCAGTATTGAACAAATTTCTCTATCAGTTACTGAACATATGGGAAGTGGATTTTTCATAATTTGCCAAGGACTCATTAAGTCATCAACAGTTTTGAAAAGTATCAATTTTACACGATGTAATATAAATGAAGAACAAAGTAGACTGATAGGAAGTCTGTTGAAGAAATGTTGCAAAGTTGAAACACTTTGTCTTTTAGGTAATAAAAATATGGGAAATGGATTTTTCAACATTTGTGATGGACTTAGCCAATCATCAAAGTGCTTGAAGAATATTAATTTTTCATTCTGTAATTTAAATGAAGAGCAAGGCAAAATGATTGGTAATATCTTAAAAAAATGTTCAAAGATCAAAGAGATTTCTTTGTCAGGAAATAGAAATATAGCAGATGGATTTTTTGACATTTGTGAAGGACTCTTTCAGTCAGTAAGAACTTTACAATTTGTCAATTTTGAAATGTGTGGTTTAAGTAGAGAGCAAATGAAAGAAAGAGATAAACTATTTATTTCTAATAATTAAAAAAGAAATATTTTTCTTGAAGACAATAAATCATTTTATCTACAAGGCCATTATGCATGGGAAGGAGTGGAGGGACCTTGAAAGCGCCCAAAACAGTTGTTTTCGTATCATTTACATATTCTTATTATTTCAATATTATTTCAATATATTTCATTAAACATAATTCATTAAAAATCCAATGATGGGAAGTTAGAAATTGTTACCATAAGTTAAATATTTTGCTTTTCTTTGCTGTCTACAGATTTTCTTCTCACTTAGTAATTTTGTATAGAGTTTTATCAGATCTGTTTAGTTCTTCCTGTATTGGTTATGGATGATTTGACAGAGGTTTCTTATTTTAGTTGTTCAAGCTGTTAAAATGGTTATCACTATGAATTTGGAATAGAGATGGCTAGTATCTGAGGTATAGAAATTCTAGATTATCCACTTATAGTCAGTTCCCAAAAATTGATTTTATTTATAAAGAAAGGACAATTAAAGACAACAAAGAGAAACTTTGTTTCTTTTGTAAAAGCCTTTTTACAATTGAGCCAAATGAAAGAATATCTTCTTTCTCTTTTTCAATATTTGATCTTGCAAAATTCTCTATTTTCAATGCGTATAACGAGCGATAGCTCTGAAAAATTTAAATTTTAAATAATGTTGTAAGTATTGCCCAACATTTTTACATTGTAATATAAATCATCAAGTGTCAGCTGTTTGTCAGATGCAAATTTGTTACTATGGCAATAAGCAATTGCCCTTAGAATATCTTTTATGGCTTTAATGTATTTTTTTTCATCAAAGAATTTCTTTGAGAGGAAATTCTTTTCCAAATACTTTGAAGTATTGTCTTCCAACACCAAATATCCATTGGAGTATCTAAAAAATTTCATTGCTTAAAGAGCAAAGAGAAGAAAACTTTACAATCATATTTTCTCATGGAAAATAAACTGGTTGTACTAACATTTAATGAACATTTCATCAACTGCATCATGGAGTGTTTTCTGTCTAAAAACAGGAAAAACATTGACAAAAATTTTGTAAAAACTTTTAAAAACTCAACCTTTTACATTCTGCGTTTTTTCTCCTTTTATAGAGAATTTGTTGAATATCAGAAAGTGAATAGAACAATGGATTTAGCATGCTATTTATAGATATCAATATTGAAACAATAATGGAATAGACATCATTACTCATATGAATATCAACAACCAATGAAATCAAACCTGTAAAATGCAATTAGTAAAGGCCTATATAAGTGTAATTAGTAACAACACCTAATATTGAAATTGGAAGCCAACAACCAATGTTTGTAACAATAATAACAATGACAGTCCTAAATAGTTTCCTTCTAGATTTATCTTGTTTTTTTTCATTATTTTTCATTTTTGAAAAGGAAATTTTAGCGTGACAAATAATATTTCCATATAATATGCAAATTAGAACACTAATTAGTAAGGTTGTTAAATTAAAGATTATAAAAGAATAAATCCAGCCATATTGTTTTTCACTTCTAATATAAATATTAAAGCATATTGGTGATTTTCCATACACATTCTATGAGAATGGGAACGGAATTAGATCCATACTAATTATTATGAAAATCGGATGTTGATGTTTACTGTATACAGCACAAGGGGTAATATTGATGTTAAAAGTACTTGAATGATTGTGAATAGAGCAAGATATCTTTTGTATTTTTTCAGTTGAGATAGTAAAAATGGAAAGGAAATTGCAATATATCTTTCTCCACTTATTAATAAAAGGCTTTCTGTTGAAAGTAATAAAGAAAAAGTCATAATTGTCCCTAAAAACTGACAGAATACACTCTGACGCCATTTTAAATCGTTTTCAATATAGTTATTATGATAGAAATTATCAACAATAGCAATTGATAGAATGTAGAATGATGTTAGAAAATCTGCTATATTTAACATTAACCTAAATAACCTTGACACTGAATGTGTAATTAGAGAAAGAAATATTGAAAGAAGATTAACAATGAAGCCAAGAACTCCAAAAATACAAAAAAAAAATTTTATTAATTTTGAACTCAACAAATCTGAACAAGTATTGAATAATGACACATTTGGAAGGCATTGAACTTTCCTACCAAAATATTTCCATACTAAACAACACAATCCATAACTTTTACTTATAATACTTTCAATATTTTCTATATATTTTACAATTCTATCATTTTCATCCAATGGAAAATTTGTGTTATTTAAATATAGATTTTTCAATTTAGTAAAAAATTCAAATGATTTCAAACTAATTTCAAAAATATCACAATTCGCAATTTTTAAAATTTCTAACTTTTTAAAATATCTTAAATTTTCATCTAAATATTTTATTGGATTGTTTGAGATGTCAAGATATGTTAAGAGAGAACATTCCAAATTCCTTATTTCACTTATATCCTTTAAAAGATTTTTGGAAATATCCAAATATTGTAGAATTTTTAATTTCAAACTCTTGTTTCTTGGCATTAGAGAATCAATTTCTAAATTATTTCCATGCAAATCTAATGCTATTAGATTTGGGAATATTGAACATGTTGAAAACAAATAGTATGGATTATTTTGAACAATCAGGTGCATCATGTGATCATTTACTGTATCTGTTGAATTTATGTTTAATTTTCCAGAAATTGTAAGTTTTCTTATACTAGAATTTATAGTTATGATATTGAAATCTCCATCGTTTTTACATTTATATTCATAGTTTGTTAGTTTTTTACACAATCTATGATAAAATGGTTTAATATTGCAAAATAATTCATCACTTCCTTCATAGCAATCTATAATTCCATTGCAAACTTTTGCAAGTTCAATAGACTTTAATTGGTTTTTGCACTTGAAGTTATGTTTGAAATAGAATTCATCTTGAGAAGATTTGTAAGTTTGATGTTCTCCTTTTAATATTTGAGTACTACTCACCACAAAACTGTTCATCTTCATTGCTAAAACAATGGTTAATACCATCACAAATCAGTTCAATAGAAATGCAAAATTTCTCCTGAATACAAAGAAATTGATTTGTAGAACATTTAACTTTATTACATGTGAAAAAATCATTAAAAGGATAATAAAATCTTGTAGTCATTATTCCAAGTGAATTGTAGCTTAATTGGCAATCTTCTGGCTGTCTTACAAAGGAAGTGTCATTCAGATCAAACTGAAATAATAAAAGACATTTTGTAATTTTTTTTTTAACAATAAACACAATAAACATACTTTTTTTGATAGCATTTCTGAACAAATAGTTAAATCTTCATCATAATATCCTGATGGACAATCTTTAAATAGATTACATTGTTTAGATACATGAATACATGAACTTAAACAATTGAATTGAAAATTTTTTCTACAATCTTTTAAATTAACAGAAAAAGAAAAAAATAGTTTTTTTCTTTAGAATATTAACTCATACCACCATTTTTAAAATAGATATCTATTGCTTCATCCTCATTACATATTTCATCACTGTGGTCAAAACAGTTTCTTTCATTATCACATACTCTGGCAGTGCTAACACATTGACCATTATGACATATTCTGGTAAAAAAAATTTGGTTCTCTTGATATATTGGAATAAGAATATAACAATAGTTCTAATGACCTTTCAGTTAAATCTTGGCATTTATTACCCCTATCTGAAATATTTTGTATCTTTAGCTATTAACTACTGGTTGAATTAACATTTAGTACTCACTGCAAAATGATTCATCAGTTTTATCAGGGCAATCATGGTTGAAATCACAAACTAATGTATAGCTTATCATTTTGCTATCTGTTGATGAACACTTGAACATTTGGACATTTTCACAATTGAATTCATCTTCATTATCCAAACAATCAGCTTCACCATCACATAAGTAAGCAATATTAATAAAAACCCTACTCTTACTACATAGGAATAGACTATGACCTAAATTGCTACTAGAATTGTGGGATATATCCAAATGGATTGATATCTCTTTCAAATTTGAATAAACACTTGATAATTTTACTAAAAGAGAAAAAAAACAAAAAAAGGGGAAAATATTCTTTAGAATTTTTAGAATTTGACAATTAATACTGTATTTCTTTTGGCAAATGTAATAGGATTTTCTAATTTTATTGCAATCTACTCTGCTGATTTCTGTAACTGGATTTTGAAAAAAGAAAAATTTTCCTTTAATGAAATTTTAAACAAAACAAACTTGAATTTTTATGAGAGACATACTAAAAAATAAACAAATATACAATAATCAATAAATAAAAATGGTAATTGATTAATTAATTAATTAAATATTCAAACTTTTGAAAATTCAATACATTTGAGTGTTTTAATTCTTTTATCAGGATTATGAAACATGGGAAAATTTCTTGGTCTAAAATACTGTAAATGGATTATGAAAAGATTATTTCATTGTTTGTATATTTATGATTTACTATAGGAGCTTCAAATGGATTTTGTGGGTAGAATTCAAAAGGAACTTTTGAAGATGTCACCTCAATGTCTTCACCATTCACTTGAACATTTTGTAATTCTGTTAGATGTTGCTTGTAAATAAAGAAATATTTTTGATTTATCATTGATTTTACCATCATATAGTGTAAATTTAAATTTTTGAAAATTGAATAATGTTATTGTTGCAGAATATCTAAAATAATTACTTAAAATCATTAGAGATTCATGAATATTTTGTGTTGAAATATCTGCTAAAGTAAGATTATTTCTTTGGCAGTAATCTTTCATTTGTGAAATTGATAGAAATCTTTTGGAAAAGTGAAATATATAACAAATATTATTGATTAAATGACTTCTTTCATCTTGACAAACTAAAACAAAGGTTTGAATATATAGAAATATTTTTGAATTCTTACCTTTTTTTTAACTCTTACTTTCAGTTGAATTCTTTTTTAAACATTTAATATAATAATTAATGTTTATATTTTCTCTAAAACAAACAAACTGGGTTTGTAAAATTTTTATTACAAAATATAAAATTATTTTTAGAAGAATACACTATACATAAATGAATGACCTTGACCCTGGACATACCTGCCGTTTAATTGCATAAAAACAAAACAGTCATTTAGATATTTAGCATTTTGATCACAATATAAACTATTTATTGGACTTTGCCTTTTTTTCTTGACAATCTCTTTTATTCCTAAATATTTTAAATTCTTAAAACCAAAACTATTGCAAATAATTCTATGTTCTTGGTAATGAATTAATGTAAAATTTGTCCATTTTCCCTCAAAAATCATTTGTAAATATCCAATAAATAATTCGTAATTTGGAGATTTTTTCTTGTAAAAGATTGCCTGATTATAATAATTATTATATAACCGGAAGTTGAAATCTATAGAATGAATAGAAAGTAATTTGAAAAAAGCATTCTTGAATTCCTTTTACCATTCCTTTGAAGATTTCTACCACAGTTAGGTTCAATTTCAAATAGTGATAAGTTTTGGTTGCTAGTGTAATCACAGTCTATAAATGTTGTTTTCTCAAATGAACAATACATGAAAATCTTTAATTTCTGTATAAAATCAATGAAGGCCTATATATATGTATATATATGTAATTTATAATTTTACAGATGGTATATTTGATTTAATTCTACAAAGAGAAGGATGACTATCTGCATTAAAATCATTGCAGATGTATTTACACAAGTTCTTTAGGCCTAATAAATTTTTGATAAAGATACGATGGACACCAAATGATTTTGATAATACAACATATGAAGGTGAATTTTGTACTTTTGACCTTTAATTGACATTGAAAATTAGCATTAACTGTTTTTAAATATATATTCAAGTTGATCATACCCAAGAGGATCATACTCATAATATGCAAATTGAACAAAGCCAGTTGTATTTAACCAATGAAATTTAATATCTGAAAAAATAGAAAACTGGATTTTATTTTTAAAAGAAATAATAAGAAATTGGCAACCTTCCAATTGAGAAAATGTACATTTATAAATCATATTCATTTGAGATTTTTTTACAAATGTTATTCCAATTTCATTATCAATATTATTCAATTTTACAAAATTTTGAATGAATTTCTTATTAATTTGAAAACTTTTAAAAAATTCTGCCTTTTTGCATAAAGTCATTTCTTGTTTTGAATTATTTAAAATTGGATAGAAATTTTCATATTTTTTTAAATATAAATTGAAATTGTTGATACTGATTTTTAATGCAAAGAGATCTGAAATCAAATTTTTTGTAATAATACCAAAAATTTAATGAATTTGTTTTTGTTTTTACATCCACTAGTATGTTTGAAACATTTTAAACAAGTAGTTATTTCATAAATATCCCTTTTTTGAAAGCTTTAAAAAAGAACAGAAAACATATAAAACACTTTTATGAAAGATAATTGGCTAACTCTGAGTAGTGTCCATTTTCATCATATTTTAAAAATAGTCCATAATAATGTCTTGATATTTTACATGCAAATGAAATGGAATGGATATTATCATATAATGCTTCTTTGCAAATGCTATTTGTCAATTTTTTGTTAAATTTTTGAGGAATGATAATATTTGTTCTCTTTTTTGATTTTTGTAGTGCAATCAGTTTTCCAATAATATATGTATTTGTTTCACTATATGAATAAAATGTTAAATTATATGAAATTCTTCCCCATCCTTCTATTCTGTTAAAGAACATTAGAATAAAAAATTCATGTAACAGATGCATCTTTTAACATTTAAGTAAAATTAATTTTGGATTTTCTTATATAGCCTACTTATGTTTATAAGTTATGACATTTTGTCTATTCATGTCAATTAGAGAGAGAGAGAGAGAGAAATTGAGTAGTTTTCATTGATTGGACTTTATTTTGCTATTATTTTTATTAATTTATACTTTAATAATTTGCAATTATTCATTTGAAAAGTGACAGTTCCGCAGTAATTTTATAATATACTTCCAAGATCTTTAGTATAATTTAATTTCTTTCAATATTTGAATCAACTCTTTTATTCTTTATTGAGGTGGAATGAAAAATCTTAGATTTAAAATCTCAAAGAAAGATTATTGCTGACAAATTAAGGAGATATGATAAAAGAATACTGGATTATTCTCCTATCTGGATAAACAGTATTAGTAATAAATGCTCCCTCTAACCTTTTTCTAATGTTTAAAAAAAGGGTGATTAATCAATGTAACATTAAATTGAATACTTTCTTTTTTTGATATGTAAAGTCAGAGATGTTCTTGTTCATTGATTTTTTTGATGTACACACGCATAGCCTGATTTTTTACATTTGGTGAGAGATTTGGAATTTTACTGGCAAAAAATTTCCCGGAAGTAGTTTTGAAAACTCCCTTTCCAATCTTAAATGTTGACAGAATGTTTTGTTTGTTGGATTGATGATAAACTGGTAAAGGTAAATAATTGATAAATGTTGCAAAGTACATGTCACTATAATTAAAGGTTAATCGTTTATTTGAGAGTATAGTTTTTGGTTGACTAGAGAATTCTTCTCTCTTGCATTGAATATTGCCAATGGTAGAATTATTAACACCATTTTATGAGATAATATCACCTCACTTACAAATGCCCTATTCAAAATATCTTCTTTATTCAATTTATTACTATTGTCTAAAATGATTTGCAGTTTTGCAGATTTCTTTCAACATAGCATCATAATCATTTGTGTTCCAAAAATCCACAAATTCTTCTCTCTCACTCCACATACCTTTTCATAGATAATGTTCAAATCTCCCGCTCTTTTTAATCTTGACCTTTTGTGAATTGTCTTTATCATTTCATCTATGAACAATTTGTCTTATAACATTGAATTTAACACTTTAATATTTTATACAAAATGCCTCTATTGGTTAATAATTGAGTTTGTTTTTGTATTGTTTGGAAAGTAAACAACTATATTAAAAGTATTACAATTGACAAACTTTGACAAACAATCAAACAGTGTGTACTTTCCTGCTATGGGGTTGTAGGTAAGTACTGGTCCAAATAGAACCGAATTAGGAGTCAACCACTTAGAAGAGATGTAGAATTGAATAAAGATGAATATAGAACCAATTTGTAAGAACAATATAGCTGTATTCTAAAGTAATACTAGACCTGTTCACTAAGAGGGTTGATTCAGGACTGAATGCCTGTTACTACCTACGCCCTGTCTTATATACAATTCCTTATCAGTTGTTTATGCCATTGGTGTCAACAACAAGGGTCTAACTCCAGATAAGGGTTGTTCACAACAAACAGGGTCAAGGGTTATCATATTATGCAATAGTGATGTAAACAACAACAACTTTGTGTAGGTAAACCTTTAAGGGTCAATTGTTACATCATATTTATGTAAATAAACACTTGGTGTTGTTGTCAACATGTTTGGTTATGTAATATCTTATCTTTTGCCTATAAAAGGGCTTGATTCTGGTAGTTCGGTACTGTCTACCCTAGAGGCAACATCTACTCTACTACTTCTAGCATCATGTGGTAAGTACCATTAATATCATATCTATTATCTATAGTTCATAAGTGTACACAGTGAAATAAAGTTTGTATTTTAAAAAGTGTTAAAAATTTTTGAAAAGTACTCAATCCACTTTCAACCCAAAATATCATTCTAAAAATTGTGAAAATGACTATACTAAGTGTAATCATGAATATTTTTGTGATAACTGGTTTCTTGGAGAAATGTTGATACTTCGCAAATAATTTCGTTTCCTTCCCAAAGTTTCATATCTCTTCTTATATCTATGTACTGAATTCTTCCTGTATTGCAGTGATAATCGCATAC